TAGAAAATAATAAATCAACATTTACCCTATCTTTTTAAACTTTTGTTTTTCCCTTTCCCACCTTCTCTTCTGTTATGTTTCCATTACTTCAGGCTTAGAATTTAGGAACTGACAATTGAGTGTTCTGATTTGAGTTTCTGGCCTGCAGGTCAGGTAGACAGATTATCTTTACCAGTTGCATAAAAATTGGTCTTTATTAGTTGCAATAACTGTGCTTCAGCTACTTTTTGTTCATGGTTTCAATATAAGGTCTTTGAAAGCAGTGCTAGATACCACACATGCATGAAACACACTAACTTTTTCTTCTGGATTCGTTCTCCTTCATTTATTCCTTTATTTCTTCTAGTTAAAATAACTAAGTCTCTATTTGTCCATGTCTCATAATCTAGCTCTCCTTTTTTTAAGTATAATAGTTTTATGAAGCCCACACCTTTTGACACAAAGGCAGAAGAACCAGTTTGTTTCATCTAAAATGCATTAAAAAAAATGCTACATAGGCATACTGTGCATACATTTACCCAACTATAGTGACCAAGAGTGGTGGTCAATGGTGTGCACTTAAGTGGTCCTTTTGCATATATACTGTTGTATACAATTCTCAGGCCTGTGTTCTGAAGTATCTAAGTCCTTTCTTTCAGATTATTGATGTCCATCAAGCCAGTGTCAAAGACCTCAACACCTTTGCTGTAGCGAAATGCAGCAATCTATATGCATGTGTTTCTCTGTTTATCCAGGAGTCATAAGCCTATAAACCACTCTTCATAAACGACAAATTATGGCCTCTCCAGTGCTTGCACATGTTCTGCTTCTTTTTTCTTCTGCTGGTCATGCCCCATTTCACATCTCTAATCCTTCAAATGTTGTTGTTCACTTCTTCACCACTTGAATTTAAAGCAAAATGAAAAAGAAATGGCGTTAAATCAGACCATGTGGACCTACTTTGTAGTTAACACGCACATGTACCCACTGCTTGGGCAGTCTTTAAAGAATATTCATAACTTTTTTTTTCTTTAGTCCAGATGGAAAACCATGTTCAAGATGCATCAAAACAAACCTAGATTTATGATTTTAAGGCTTCTGTTTATCCAGAAATACATTTATGTGAGTGTTATCTACATGTAGCTTAACATACTGAGCCCTTTCGAGATAAACTTGAAGAAGGAGTAGAATTGAAAGAGGAGTGAGTGCCAGTAAAATACACTCAAGTAAGAAGCTTGTCCACTTTCTGATGAAAAAATGTAGCATGAAAGAATCCTACTCAATCAGCCCCAGCAGTCGTGCAATTAAAATAATCCCACAGGCTTTCCAAAGATAATAGGTTGTTCAAAATTTATCTTGAGAAATGATTTTTTCCTCAAAAAAGTCTGAAAATTTTGATGTAAAAAAAACATTCCTCTGTGGCTATTTGCACATTATTTGAAGTTGCTTTTGATTACATGCATCAGAAACATGTACTTTCTAATGCATTTCAAACATATAACATGGGTTTTCTGATCAATTTTGAAAAGGATGACTTTTCACTTCTGAAAGATTTTCAATTCTGAAAGTTTTTCTAAAAATATAAGTCTTAACATATCTGTATTTTGATATTTTAAAGCAAAGAATACTTCTTGGCAAACAAAAATTAGCAATGTTTTTAATTAAAATATGTAAAAGTGTATTTTAATGGAAAAAAAATAAAATGCCAAAAATTATTTTCAGCCCTCCCACATTTTCTGTAATTTCAAGCAATATTTAAAAATTAGATGACTTATAGGTGTAACTAAATATACTTAGAATTTCTGTTTTAAATGCCTTTAATGCAATATAATCATTCACATATTTCATATTCCCTTCTTCCAAGTGTGCATTTGTGTCATATTTCAGTAACATACAGTATTTTGAGACAATGAATTTGCAATTATATATAATTAGTTTCAGTGTGTTGTTACATACATTATAGCATCTTTTTAAAGATTTTTTCCCACATAAGCCTTCTTTTCCCTTTCTAACAAATACCAAGCAAGATATTGCTAAAATGTGTTGATCCTGCTATAAGTCTATGTAAAGCAATGCAAACAGAATGAATTTAACCCAAATGAGTTATTTGCATTCTAAGAAAAATATAACATTTAGACTGGCTGTTTACATTGAGTATCATAGCACTGGTCTCAAATCTAATTGCAGTATGAGCTGTCCCTTAACATGTACTGCGGTATGATTCTTTACTCCAAGATCTTCAAGAGGCCTTTATAACTTTCCTGTAAAGCCATCACTTAAAAATGTTTATCAGAGATTGAATTTATTTGTGGAAAGTATCAGAAGCTAAAAATAGTTGCTGGTTTTCTGTGATAGACACATTGGTCACATGGGGCTAATGGTGATAGCTTTACTAAAAAAAAAAAAAAAAAAGGGCAAATCTTTATAAAGAGTGCCACAGGTTATGTCAGGAAAGGTAATATACTATGTCCATCTGATTTTTTTTTTCAGTGTTTACTTAAAATTTCCTGTCTTTCCATGAATATTTCTGTCAGGAAATAACATGAAACATAATCATGGTTGTGGAAGTCATATGTTTTGATGGCTTCAGAAAACATCTTCCAACATCCATCTACCTCTAGTAAAAACAAATACATGCCAGACCCTAATATTTTTATGCTCGAAGTAAAAATGATTTATAAATAATCACAAAGAAAAATTCACTCATCTTCTGCACACAATAACAGAATATTAAATTTACATTCTTTTTCAAATACTTTCCTGTGCCCTGATCCAGCCGTTCATGAAATGCATGGGTACCCTTTCACTAACTTTAATTACCCTGGATCGTTTTTTTCAGACAAATCTTGTACATGGCTGTTTTGCAAGATAATTTTTACAATGTTGACTTCATATAAAAGTAGATCATCCTTAAGTGCAAATTTGATGAAGCATTATACAAAATTTTCCATTGCAGAATTTTTCCATTTGCTTTTATCTTCATACTGTAAATCCATTACAAGAGAGAAATAGTTTACAGTCTAATAGCGATGTTTGCTTTAGCATAATCTGAACAGCTGATCCCTCTAAATCAATTTTGCCCTTTGCTTCTATTTCAAATCCACATTGTAAATTAGAAATGAGCAAAATCTTGAAAGAATGCTAGTTAAAACCAAAACCCAAATAGTCTAGAGCAGAAATACCAAGACCAATGCTTCTTCGGTAAACTACATAATTCTACAAATTGAGAAATACCAAGTGGTAGCTTTTGTTAAATCGTATTAATTATAGGCTATCATGCCTAAAGCCTGACTGGCGTTAGGCATCTGAAGGCTTCTAATAGACAGATATTATTTAGAGCTCTAAAAGAACTCTTTAAAGAAAATCTCTGTTACAAGACTGTAGAATTTGTAGACAGTCACTATCAGTCAGTCGTGCTCTCCATCCTCAGCAGGAAAACAGGGTTTTATTGCTTTTGTTTGAAGTGTGGTAGCTAACAAAAAACTCAAAATTATGACTTTGTCAGTCCAGCTGATGCCCAAGCAGCAAGGAAAATCCAGGGTTTTGGGATTCTTTTGGATCCTTTGGAAAGAGTGCAAGGACACGCCATCTTCCATCTGAGAGCATGAATGTGTGGGGCTACATCAGGCTCAAGAAATAAACCCAGCTCTCCCCAGCCCATGTCAAAGTGCTAACAATGGGATAACATTTGAGAGGTGGTGTGAATCTCCTAAGCTACATATTTTTGGGAGGCTCTCTTATAAGAATGAGTGCATTCTGTTATGCAGTCCCACATTAAAGTTGGTTTAATAGTCCTTGAGACCCACACTAAGGGTAAGGATGAAGTTTCAAGCAGGAATTCTCTTCCCAGATAGAGAGGAGAAAAATGCAGGGTCTCTACCTACCATGATACTCATGCCTGAAGTGATCAGCCAGATGCCATCCAGCATTTGTGATAACCTTTTTCTATTCAGAGGGAGAATTAAGTGGAATATATCTATAGGGGCTCTTTCGTTTGTGCCCTGCTCACACCCAAAGCAGTGGGCAGATACTCATAACTGCTTTTCACATAAAAAAACACCTACTTTAAAAGAACATTATCAGGACTGTGGGGTCAACTGCTAAATTCTTAGGCCTCTGCAACATTAATTCACTTGCCTTATACATATGTATTATGGTACAGTTTCTAATTACATGATGACTCAGTAATTTTTTACTACCTTACAACTAGTTTCATCAGTGCACAGAGTGGGTAGTGCTCACTTAATAAGCCAGTATTAAGTCCTCCTTGAAGGCATGGCCTCAAGCCATTTAAGCCCTGTTCAGAAGAGAAAAATATTAATTTCCTTGTGGGTTTTTAATCCCATATGTAAAGTATATGAATAGCTTACAAATACTAATGAATTTATATTTTCACAAAATCCCTACTAGGAAGGAAAATGGTGACCCTGCCCCCCTCCCCCCCGCTTTTTCGTAGCTAAGAAACTAAGGCATAAAGAGATTAAGAGCACAAAGTATCTGCTGACTTTCAGTGGCCAAATTAAAGCATCAAGAAAGTGAATTTGGAGCGAGTTGCTGTATGTATCACTTTTGCTCCAAACACAGCCTCCATAGAAAACTGAGGGAGTACTTAATACTTCCGTTACTCAGACACCACAGTCTCAAAACCTCTGTTGAGAACACGGGGGCTGCAGCTTGTGAACAGCTGTGAAAACAGCAGTTTAAGTGGCAAGACTAGGAACATCAAATATGAATTCTGTGACAGAAAGAGAGCAAAACCTGTATCTTCAGGGCACCCTGGGTAGCCTTCTTTTCTCACCTTGTCTTTGCATCATTCAGCACAAGCATTTAAATTCTGCAGCATGGGAGGAAGGGACCCTCAGAAAAGAGCTTCTTTTGCTACATAGTAAAGGTTTTATTTTATACTGAGTGATTTTCTTTTTCCTTCTTCCTTCTTCCTCTCTCCTCTTCCTCCCCACTGTTTCTTCCTGTTTTTCCTTGCCCTTTCTCCCACTATTCTCCCCTTCGTTCTTTCTTATTAGCTCGTCGGGCAACTCTTCTCACTGTGCCCACACTGATGACAGCATCTTCGGAGGAGGACATAGACCGGAGACCCATCAGAAGACTTCGGTCTAAGAGTGACACCCCCTACCTGGAAGAGGCAAGGATCTGCTTCAACCTGGATAATTCAGGTATGACCGTATCCCTTCCCTTCTTAAGCACAGTGGATGATATTAATGGAAGACTTCATTGTATTGTACACACACCAGAGGGTAACTCCTTGTTCACCTCGCGGCATGATGGATCACCAAGGACGTCTGAATATGAATCCTTCTCAAAGTTCTCCTGCAAGTGCCAGCAAAAGCTGTTTCCATGGCTTAGCCTGGGTCTTCAGCCAGGGAGATCAATAAGACAGCAAAAAAAAAAATGGGTTCGCAAACAAGGAAGGAACGAGTTTGCAAACAACATCTATTTGCCCCCTTCCCAGTCCAGTCAACAAGAAAAAAGACAGCTGTTCTGCACATTTATGAAGGGATTAGACCTAACAGTAGAATTCAGCTAGACCTAACATTATAGTCGTGGTGAAACATCCAGTATGCCCCAAAACATCGCTAGCTTTATTGGCAAAAGCGGCAAAAACGATTCATAGCTGCCAAGGGCTGCCCACAGAGCTACAGCAGCACTGGCATTCCCTGAAACTCTTATTAAGGAGGTCGCCCAAAATGAAAGATTTCTGAGCTGCCGAACAACTTGGCGACTCTAAGCAGATCATGCTTTCTTTACACAATCTGCATTAAGCAATGAACTAGTACACTCACTGCTATGCATTGTAACTGTTAAACTCTTACTTTGAGTAGCACTTCCATGCTAATTAGTTAAAAAACAAACAAAAAAAAAGCATTTTTGTTTTTGTATTACACTAACATCTGAAGGTCCTAGTGAGCCTGGAGCCCCAGGATGATAGGCAGTTCACAACCACATGAGAAATAACCTCCACAGCAAGAGCTGGATGTTACGGAGAGGGGGAAGCAGCAAAACCTTATCCTCATTTTGTGACCAAGGGGCCGAGTTGCTCATCTTTGCCTAGGGCCACATGAAAGAATGTTTTAGACTGAAGGTCGGATGCAAACCCACAACTCCTAACTCTGGCTGTGGGAAGCAAATAAAAACGCTGCTTCTCTCTGGCAGGGCTAAAACGTAGATGGAAGAATAAACAGATGGGGGTTATGTTTTTTGAGTTTTTGTTTTGTTTTGTTTTCCCCAAACACCTGCCACTGGGAGATATGAACATGAGTCTCGAGCTTTAACTGAAAAAGTCATTAAAAATAAAAATAAAAAAATAAAAGGAAAGAAAGAAAAAAAAAAGGAGCAATGGCACAAAGTCCCTCAGCCACGTTGGCCGTTGAAAACGCTGGGCCCCCATATCACCCCATTACGGGGTGAGCCCGGAGCCGGGGCGGGCGGGAAGGGGCAGCACCTCGGCCCCTCGGGGTCCCGCCTGACTGCGGGGCTGCCCGGGGGACCCCGGGGGCGGAGGGCGGAGGGCGCGGGGTGCCGGTGGCGGTGGCGG